GCACCGTACCCTTTATAGTCTCCTCCACGCTATCCTTTACGTCCATCACTGTGCTTTTCACATCCTTCACTGTCTCAGTTACGTCCAACACTGTATCCCTGACGGATTCTGTCACCGAATCCGTCACTTCCTTCACCTTCTCTGTTACATCCTTGACTGTCACAGCATCAACAACGGTGCTTGATACTGCACTCACCGCCTCCCCTGCCCCACCCTCCACATTCCTCCCAGCCCCTCCTCTCACTCCATCTGCTTCCTCCATTGTTCCTGATGTCCTTTTTACCCCTCTCACCCCTTGAGGTAATCTCTCCTCCCCATTTCCTACTCTAGATCCCTCCTCCGCTCTTTCTCCCACTCTCTCCCTTAGCTTCCCCCAGCCCACCACTCCATTCCGTCTCTCCTTTTTCGTGTTCCAAGCCCACCTCAACTCCATTTTATTTGTGCCTTCCTCTTTCCTATCCCTCCTATCCGTCTCGTTCTCTTTTCCATCCCTCCTATCCGTCTCGTTCTCTTTTCCATCCCTCCTATCCGTCTCGTTCTCTTTTCCATCCCTCCTATCCGTCTCGTTCTCTTTTCCATCCCTCCTATCCGTCTCGTTCTCTTTTCCATCCCTCCTATCCGTCTCGTTCTCTTTTCCATCCATCCCTCCTCCCTCATCTCTCAATCCGCCTCTATCCCCTTCCGCTCCTCTGTCTCTTTCCCTTCCTCCATTTCCTGTCTCTCTCACCCCCCCTTCCTTTCCCCCTGGCACTCCTCTCCGCAAGTATTTCCCCCCCAGCTCATCCGCATCCCTAGGGCTTTCCTCTTCGTCTCTTCCCCTCTCCGCGTCCTCCTCTTCCCCGCGCCGGGTCCACACTCGGCGTTTCCGCCTGCGCAGCCCCCCGTGCAACCCCCCGCTCCCCCGCGCGCCCAGCGATCGCGCGGGGGCGGGCCCTCTCCCCGCAACCCCTCCGCGCAAAAACGCCCCGCGCGCTGCCAAAAGCCCCGCTCCGCCGAATTCTTCCCCCGCGAACGGCAGATTGGGGGAATCTCCGCCGAGTCCTCCCAGATCCCGCCTCCGCAAGGCGGTGGGCGGAGTCAGCGGGCGCAAACCGCAGAGGTTGGGCGCTGGGGGAAGGGCTTGAGAGTGCGGGCGCACGGGCAGAGGGAGGAGGCAGGCGCACAGACCGTGCGACATGGTGTGCGACGGCGACGGTTCACCGGGCAACGATTTTAGGCAACGGTTCCAGGGCGACGATGTTTGCGAAATAGTGGCGACTCGATTGCACTGGCCAAGGGACGAACGCGGCGGTTACAGGGCTGTGTCGGACACGCTTCGAAACAAATCATTTCCGCGCTTCGCGAGCAGGCACGGGGTAACTTTCGATGCGACTCACAAGTTGCCCTGCGAGTAGGCACGGGCCCGCGAGTGCGAGCTATCGCGAATATTTCACTGTCGAGAATGACAGGACGGGAGTGACGAGACGCATGTTCCGATGCTGTGCTGAGCAGTAGCATTAGTAACAGCGGAGACAGGGTTGGGCTCAAGTGAAGAAATTTGGTCTGGTGAGATTCCGACACGGCGAATTGAGAGTGCTTCTTGATTCGCTATAAACTTCTTCGTGGTGAATTTATTTGCCCCATACACCGAAACTGTCTCGGTGCTACCAAAAAGCTGTTCCGAACTCTCAAGCCCTGTCCTTCAATCCAATCCACCAAAGCGCCTACCTCCCCACTCGACAATCAACAGGCTTTATTTTCCGTCGCGTCTGACGTGGCACTACGCGCTATTGCCACTGGCGAGGACTAGATACGGGAAATCTAATCGATACTAACCGTTGCTTCAAACCCTTATAGAGAGTCGCGCCGTCCTCTAACGAACAGAGCGCCTCGGAACGCGACTCGAGCACTCAGGCAGAACAGGCTGAAACGTGCGCTGTAGTCTCGGAGTAGATTTCTCGGACGCGGCGCGGGGGACGCGTTAATCCAGTGGCGGTGCGGCAAGGGCTGCCCGCATGGTGCGGTTGCAGATCGAGTTCAGGTGGGACGCCGCATGTCCCGCCAGGTTTCCCGCTCACCGTGTAAGGCGGACACGTCGTTCTGTCGTTGGTTCGATGCGCATCCTCCATCTCCTCTTCCGCTCCCCTGACTTGCCCCGTCACACATTTCCGCGTTCCCCTTTCTCCCCGCGTTCCCCCGCCTCCGCGCGTCGCTCATTATCCCCGCGTTCCTCCATTCTCCCCGCTTCCCCCGTTCCCCCATCCCGCAGCGGAGGCTTGGAGCTGCTGTTCGGCGGAGAGAAGAAGCAGAGCGTGGATGTGACTGTAACGGGGGAGGATGGTCAGGTGGGGTGTAGCTGGCGCACTCACATTCGCAAGCATTATCAGTTCAGAAGTGCATGCACATCTCTCACAATCAGTAGTCCGAACGCACACTCACATGCATTCACGCAAGGACTACCACCCTTCAGTATCATTCCAATCCAAGAATGCCTCGCCCCTTCCCTCCGCACCTTCCTCACTCCCCCTATCCCCCACCCTCACAACAGCTATGCATGGCGCCGCTACTGACATAAATGCGAGAGCACATGCTGAAGGAGCAAATTGACATGATTTATGTGTTCTCAAAAACCACCCCCAACCCCCCTTTCCACCCAACCTCTCACCCTCACAACAGCTATCCATGGCGCCGCTGCTGGCATGGATGCGAGAGCACATGCTCAAGGAGCGACCAGAGATGTTTCTCAAGGGGCCCACCGTGTGAGTCACACACTCCGCTCACAGCACAAGCACTGCCTGTGTGCCACACTATCTGTGTGCTGCAGCACAAGCACTGCCTGTGTGCCACACTATCTGTGTGCTGCAGCACAAGCACTGCCTGTGTGCCACACTATCTGTGTGCTGCAGCACAAGCACTGCCTGTGTGCCACACTATCTGTGTGCTGCAGCACAAGCACTGCCGGTGTGCCACACTATCTGTGTGCTGCAGCACAAGCACTGCATGTGTGCCACACTATCTGTGTGCTGCAGCACAAGCACTGCCTGTGTGCCACACTATCTGTGTGCTGCACTGCCTGTGTGCCACACTGTCTGTGTGCTGCAGCACAAGCACTGCGTGTGTGCCACACTATCTGTGTGCTGCAGCACAAGCACTGCCTGTGTGCCACACTATCTGTGTGCTGCAGCACAAGCACTGCCTGTGTGCCACACTGTCTGTGTGCTGCAGCACAAGCACTGCGTGTGTGCCACACTATCTGTGTGCTGCAGCACAAGCACTGCCTGTGTGCCACACTATCTGTGTGCTGCAGCACAAGCACTGCCTGTGTGCCACACTATCTGTGTGCTGCAGCACAAGCACTGCCTGTGTGCCACACTGTCTGTGTGCTGCAGCACAAGCACTGCCTGTGTGCCACACTATCTGTGTGCTGCAGCACAAGCACTGCCTGTGTGCCACACTGTCTGTGTGCTGCAGCACAAGCACTGCGTGTGTGCCACACTATCTGTGTGCTGCAGCACAAGCACTGCATGTGTGCCACACTATCTGTGTGCTGCAGCACAAGCACTGCCTGTGTGCCACACTATCTGTGTGCTGCAGCACAAGCACTGCCTGTGTGCCACACTATCTGTGTGCTGCAGCACAAGCACTGCCTGTGTGCCACACTATCTGTGTGCTGCAGCACAAGCACTGCCTGTGTGCCACACTATCTGTGTGCTGCAGCACAAGCACTGCCTGTGTGCCACACTGTCTGTGTGCTGCAGCACAAGCACTGCCTGTGTGCCACACTATCTGTGTGCTGCAGCACAAGCACTGCCTGTGTGCCACACTATCTGTGTGCTGCAGCACAAGCACTGCCTGTGTGCCACACTATCTGTGTGCTGCAGCACAAGCACTGCGTGTGTGCCACACTATCTGTGTGCTGCAGCACAAGCACTGCGTGTGTGCCACACTATCTGTGTGCTGCAGCACAAGCACTGCCTGTGTGCCACACTATCTGTGTGCTGCAGCACAAGCACTGCCTGTGTGCCACACTATCTGTGTGCTGCAGCACAAGCACTGCCTGTGTGCCACACTATCTGTGTGCTGCAGCACAAGCACTGCGTGTGTGCCACACTATCTGTGTGCTGCAGCACAAGCACTGCCTGTGTGCCACACTATCTGTGTGCTGCAGCACAAGCACTGCCTGTGTGCCACACTATCTGTGTGCTGCAGCACAAGCACTGCCTGTGTGCCACAATGTCTGTGTGCTGCAGCACAAGCACTCACAGGCAATCTAGAATCTTGAGTCCACGGCACCCCTTGGGAACCTCTCCCTTTTACCGCACACATCCATCTCGTCCCTCACGTCTGCCTCTTCCTCACCATCCGTGTTTGGTTACCCTCTGCTGTGCAGGCGACCAGGTGTGCTAGTGCTGATAAACGATGTGGATTGGGAGCTCACAGGCAATATAGAGTCCACGGTGCCTCTTTGCACCCTCTCCCTCTTACACACCCATCTCATCCCTCTCTCCCTGCCTCTCCCTCTGCCTCTCCGCCACGATGCTCGTCTGGTTACTCTCCTCTGCTGTGCAGGCGACCGGGTGTGCTAGTGCTGATCAACGATGTGGATTGGGAGCTCACGGGCAACCTAGAATCTACGGTGGAGGATGGAGATAGAGTCACTTTCATCTCCACACTGCACGGGGGCTAGGCGTGCACCTGTACTGAATAATACTAAATTGCATTGCTAACTAGGAAGCTCCGAAGCGCCACCCTACAGAGTAGTTGGCCTTATTGCCTTACATTGATTTATTGGCATTTGTGTTATTTTGCAGCAGACGGCCTCTGCTTGCTAATACAACGGTTAAGGGCGTGTTCCTACGGCCTCATATCAGGAAACCTCGTATCAAGAATGTACTTTTTGCCTGGTAAAACTAGCGAGAGGTTTTGGGTTTAGGGGATTTTTTAGTGTGAGCCTGATACGAGGTTATCTTGATAAGAGGTGTAGGAACACGCTCTAAGTGACTGAGTGTGTGCACAAGAGGTTATTGCTCCTCTTGGAATGCCTTTCTTGCTTCTTTCAGCTCCACGTTCATTGCCAGTAACTCCCTGGCTCTTGCAAACTTGCGTGGGTCCTGCCATAGCGGAGATATATTGGCATGCACACAGCACACAGCACACAGCACACAGCACAGAACCCACGTTGAGACGTGGTGGCGAGGGGGAGCAGCAGAGACAATGAATGAGGAGAGGGAGAGAAAGTGAGGGGGGACGTGCAAGAGAGGATGTGTGAGATTGAGAGCGGATGAGCTTGAGAGGATGAGTAGGGCAGGATGAGAGAGCCGATGAGAGAAATTTTGTTGGAAAAGTGAGAGAGTGTGAGTGAATGAGTAAATGAGTGAGTGAGTGAGTGAGTGAGTGAGTGAGAGAGGGAGGGTAAAAGTGAGGGAGCTGGCCTTGCGGATGAGGAAGAGCACGTCTTCTGTGGTGAGGCGGCCTCGCCTGGCTGCCACCTCCTGAGCCCGATGCACGAGGTCCGTGATGTACTCTATCACTATCTCCTCCACTAGCTCCACTGACTCGGGTAGGGGCTGATGGGACACACATTGAGAGAGTGAGTTAGAGATAGTGATCAAGGAGTGTGAGGGTTGCACCGTGCACGAGGTCAGTGATTTGCTCGATCACTATCTCCTTCACTAGCTCCACTGACTCGGGTAGGGGCTGCAAGGGAGGGAGAGCGACTGAGGGAGAAAGAGAGAGAGAGTGCTGTAAGGGGGATGCGAGGGTGTGTGTCCAGCGCACGAGGAAAGTGATGTACTCGATCACTATCTCCTCCACTAGCTCCACCGATTCCGCCAGGGGCTGGTGTGACACGTGAGGGCACGCAAATGATTGTGGTGAGGGGGGATAGGGAGAGATGCGGGAGTGCGAGGGTGTGTGTGACCATCTCCCCCACCAGCCCCACTGACTCTGGCAGGGGCTGATGGCACACGAAATGCAGCATGCAATGAAAGGGAGAGAGCGCGCGAGATGAGGCGATACTTGCTGGCTGTGTCCTCTCAGAATGGCTGCTGTGGGTGGTGGGTCATCTCATCGTGATGGCGATGCTGATGCTGATGCTGATATGCTGGTGCTGATGCTGATGCTGATATGCTGATGCTGATATGCTGATGCTGATGCTGATACGCTGATGCTGATATGCTGATGCTGATGCTGATGCTGATATGCTGATGCTGATGCTGATGCTGATATGCTGATGCTGATGCTGATATGCTGATGCTGATGCTGATGCTGATATGCTGATGCTGATGCTGATATGCTGATGCTGATGCTGATGCTGATATGCTGATGCTGATGCTGATATGCTGATGCTGATGCTGATATGCTGATGCTGATGCTGATATGCTGATGCTGAACCTGATGCTGAACCTGATGCTGATGCGGAACCTGATGCTGAACCTGATGCTGAACCTGATGCGGAACCTGATGCGGAACCTGATGCTGAACCTGATGCTGAACCTGATGCTGAACCTAATGCGGAACCTGATGCGGAACCTGATGCGGAACCTGAAGCTGAACCTGATGCTGAACCTGATGCTGAACCTGATGCGGAACCTGATGCGGAACCTGATGCTGAACCTGATGCTGAACCTGATGCTGAACCTGATGCTGAACCTGATGCTGAACCTGAAGCTGAACCTGATGCTGAACCTGATGCTGAACCTGATGCGGAACCTGATGCGGAACCTGATGCTGAACCTGATGCTGAACCTGATGCGGAACCTGATGCGGAACCTGATGCTGAACCTGATGCTGAACCTGATGCTGAACCTGATGCGGAACCTGATGCTGAACCTGATGCTGAACCTGATGCTGAACCTGATGCTGAACCTGATGCTGAACCTGATGCTAAACCTGATGCTGAACCTGATGCGGAACCTGATGCTGAACCTGATGCTGAACCTGATGCTAAACCTGATGCTGAACCTGATGCTGAACCTGATGCGGAACCTGATGCTGAACCTGATGCGGAACCTGATGCTGAACCTGATGCTGAACCTGATGCTGAACCTGATGCTGAACCTGATGCTGAACCTGATGCGGAACCTGATGCGGAACCTGATGCTGATGCTGATGCTGAACCTGATGCGGAACCTGATGCTGAACCTGATGCTGAACCTGATGCTGAACCTGATGCTGAACCTGATGCTGATGCTGATGCTGATGCTGAAGCTGATGCTGATGCTTATGCTGATGTTGATGGTTCAGAAGCATACCACAAGCGTGTAGGAGCAATGATCACCACCACCGACAGCAGATGAGCTCACCTCGAGCAATGATTACCATGAATGACAGCACACGAACTCCACGTGAAAGCAGACAGCGCAGGGGCTCACCTCGGGACTACCATCACCGACAGAGCCAGGGCTCACCTCGGGATCATCCCCAAAGCAGTACATCATGAGCCGCACTGCCGCACCACCGACGCAACAAAGAGCGGTTCAGATGGCTCACCTCGGGATTACCATCACAAACAGCACACGAGCTCACCTCGGGATCATCTCCAAAGCCGTACATCATGAGCCGCACTGCCGCACCATCGACGCAACACAGAGCGGTTCGGATGGGTGGACGCACCAAGGAGCCATGGGAGCACGTGGGAGCACGTGGGAGAGCACATGGGAGCAGCATGAAGGAGTTAGTACGTTCAATGAAACTGCATGTGGGGTGAACAGTGACGGTGCATGGAAAGATGCAAGCTCAATCTCCCTTCCGCCTTCTTTCCCCCCCTTCCTTCTCCCCCATCCTCCACCCGCTCACATTCTCGCAGGAAGATTCCCGCCTTCTTCTTCGACCCGCCCAACTCCTCCGCCGCCGCTTTCCCCTTCGCCCGCCCGGCTCCCCCGCCTCCGCCGGAAGGTCCCTCCGCGCCCTCATTCCCCTGCATGCCCGCGGGCGCGCGGAGCACGGGGGCGCGCAGAGCAGGCGGAAGCGCAAGGGGAAAGCTCAGAGTAGGCGGAAGCTCAGCGCGAGGAGAAGCAAAGCAAAACGTGGCGGAAAGCGCGCAGCAGCAGAGGTCTGGGCCTCGCCAGCAGCAAAGAAATGATGGGGGCGCGCGAAAGGGACGCGACCAGGAGGCCTTCGAAGGGGATTGTAGGCGATTGTGGGCAGGGCTTAACGCTCGAGAATAGTGGGACGTGCGATGGAGTTATAGCAGTAAGCTCAGTCGCGACACGGTGTGAATGGCTCTATGGAAGGAAGTGCTTTATTCGCGAGAGTTCAGCACTTCTAGGTTGTTCGCAATTAGGAATGCTGCTGTATCGATTCACGTCTCATATTTTTCCTACACTCCCATGGCCACCTCCGATATGCTTATATATAGATTCAACATCCAATAATTATTGCTCAGATGAGCTATTCATATCAAATTCACTGTTCCTATCAGCTGTATTGGCTGAAGGAAGGCCACACGCGTGGCCTCCCCTCGCTCTACTGCACTGGGCAGGTCCAGCGATTGAACGGCCTTTGCCCCTTCCGCCTGCCATAACTGCTTGCACGGGTGAGAATAAGAAATGGTACTGGGTGAGAAAGGGGACTCGTATCGTAGTGATCAAATTGGTAAAGGAGAACTGGTGGGTAAGGAACAAAAGAAAAACACAACCACACACCCCAGGTGCCCACACTACTTACAGTGACGTGCGCAAACGGATTAAGCGAGCGAACCGCCTCCCCCTCCTCCCCTTCCCTCAGCTCCACGGCGAGTGCAGCCACATGTTGATCAAACAGCAGCGCCGTTGCCAGCACCGTCACTGCACGCCCCTCCATGGGAGCATACCCCACCACTGCCGGCACTCCCTGCTCCTTCTTGTGGGCCAGAGTCACATGCAGCCACCCCAACCCCCTGCTGCTGCCACCACCACCAGCGCCACTAGCACCACCAGCAGCGACAGCAGCACCACTGGTACCCACGTCCAGTTTCTTTCTCAGAGGCCCTTCTGCCGTTTTCCAGAACTCTGCCACCGACGAATCAGATCTCGCCAGCTCTTCCAACGTCTGCAATAGCTGTCGCCCACTTGTAGCCACGTCAGCGCCGCCCGGCGCCACATCAGCAGCGGGATCAATCACCACCGCTGCCAGGCGAATGCTGCGGAAGCTCGTCTTGGTGGCGACCAGTGGCCGGATTTGTCCTGTAGCGATCTGGTGGAGCTGGTTTTGGACTGTTGCGACCACTTGGTCAAGAGGCAGCTGGATGGAAGTGAGGTAGGGGGCGTGCTTGTGCAGCACCGCTCTCAACTCCCCCTCCCACTCCAACACCTCCTCTACCATTGGCGTTTTCAGAGGCTCCTTGCTGCAACCGTCATGGGGGACGGGTGAGGATGCGAAAGGCACAGATGTGAGGGATGACGGGGGTGAGGGAGAGGAGAGCAAGGAGTGTGAGGCATAGCAAGTGTTGGAAGACGAGCGGAGAGGTTGGGAGCACCAGTGGTATGAGAGCACGCGCAAGAGAAAGTCAGTACCATCTCGATAAAAAAGGAGAGACACATCAGAAACACGCGGCCTGCCTCACACCCACACCGCACCTTTTATGTCGCTTCCATATGGTTTCCCGCAGCTTGTGCCCTGACTTGATGACGCCAGCTATCTCGTCTGGTAGTGGAGGGCTGGTGGAGGAGTCGAGAAAGACAGGGGAAGAAATACGAAGGGAAGCGGAATACGAGATGGGAAAATAAGAGGGAGAGAAGAGTGTATGGGTTTTGGGGGAAGGGGGTGGTGGTGGAGCGTGTGTTTGGTGGGGGAGGAGGAGAGGGGAGGGGGAGCAAGCGTTTGCATAATTGCAGGTCCAGTAAACGGTGACTAATTGAATCAAACAGACGAAAACACGCACACACAAACTCACGAGTCAGGTTTGACAACAGGCATGGTCACGAGCACACCAAAGCGCTGCTTCAGCTCCGCCTCAAAGTCCTCCCGGTTCTGCAGCAGTCGAGGGCGGGGGATGCATGGGTTGGGTCACACGCACGCGCATGACACAAAGCACGCAATGCAAAGCTCGTTTGGCATGACATGGTCACGAGCACGCCAAGCGCTGCTTCACCTCCCCCTTAAAATCATCCCGGTTCTGCAGCAGTCAAGGGCGGAGGTGGGTGGACAGGTGGAGAGATAAGTGAACGCAAGGAGGTGTCGGGGCAGGGTGGGCGGACAAGATTTTCGTAGTACAAAGCTTCCAAGGCATGGCATGGCAAGGCATGGCATGGGACAGGAGGTGGCGCATGGGGTGGAGTGCGGCACGGCTGGCTTTTTATTTCTTTTCTTTTCAAAGGCGGGGTGGGACTGACATGTCTTCCGTAGAGTGAATGGAAGCTCAGCACCACTTGCCCTGGAGCTGGTGAGCTGGCATCCAAATCGCCCTGAGATGAGATGGATGGGGGAGGAGGAACAAAGAGAGTGACAATGGGGAGGAGGGACAGATGTGGTGAGGAGTGGGAGTGGGAGCAATTGTAAATGCTGACCCACCTTGGTCTGATTCAAATCAAGGTGGAATGGGAATCCCTGTCGAGTTGAATCTAAGTTGATGGCCTACAGGCCTGAACGACAGACATAGACAAAGGTTCTTGTGAGGAGGTTTGGTATGGAGAAGGGGTCTCACAGGGTGGTTGGTGCGCTGAATCACGCGGAACAGAAACACGGCCAGCACTCGCCAGTCGAAAGCGTTGTGCAGTGTGCCTGGACAGTGCAGAGCGGTGCAGGGGGGTGGGGTGCGGGAAAGGGCTCTGCCAAGTGACAACAGTGCTTGCATCCCCTGGAAGGTTGCATTGCAGCAAGCTTCAGACTTCAGGAAACCAGAAACACAGACCTCACAAAACGGGAGGAACAAGAACCCTGGATACATCAGCCTTAATCTCTACCTCCCTCTGCCCCCCCTCATTCGCCACCTCTCCTCCCTCCACACACTCCCCGCCACCACCAGCCCACACCCATGCTTTCCTCCCTCAAACCCCCCTATCACCCTCCCCCGGACAGCTTACCTAGCGAGGCAGGCACAACAGGCACGCCTATCAGCCCTGTGTCGTGGCAAATGGCTTCTATCTGGATGGCACACGGAGGTGGGGGATGGAGTGTGAGAAACACGGGGGTAACTTGAGTTGATGCGGTTTTGACATGACTCCAAGCCCAGCAGTCCCGCGCCGTGGCAGGTGGCTTCTATCTGGCCGCCAAACATGGGCTTCAGGATGGGGTGAGAGCAACAGAGTGGAAATCCTGAGCTGATGCAGTTGTGAGACGTTTTAAATGCCGGCAGCCCTGTGCCGCGAATGGTCTCCATCTGGATGTCAAAAGTAGTAAGAAAGTGCTCGCAGCATGAGCACATGAGCACGAAAGCATGTGAGCACACGAGCACATAAAGCAAGTGAGCACGCGAGGATGAGAACACAGGAGCAAGAGAGCTCGCACCTGGTTCCACACGTCCTCGTAGGGGGCTCACCTGGTTCCACACGTCCTCGTTGGGCGCATTCTTATCCGCCAGCACGTTCACCCTCGCCCCCCTCTCCTTCCTCATGCGCGCCCCCAACATCTTCCAGTACTTGCCTGCGTAGTACAGACCGGTGGGATGCGGTGGGACACGGTGGGATGCAGTGGGATGGGTTGGGATGAGGTGGGAGGGACAGAAAGCAAGACAGACGTGAGTATGGCATGGAGAGACAAGGGGGGACGCCAGAGGCTAAGGAAGGGAGAAGATGTGTTACGATGTGAAACGATGTTCCATGCAACCATGCACCCACCGATTGTCTTGTCGCCCATAATGTGCAAGCATTCCCTCCCATCCCCCAACGGCCCTCCACCCTCCTCCACCTCCCCTCTTCCCTTCCCTCCCTCCTTGCTTCCTCCCTCACCCCCTGTCGCTCTCTCCCCTCTCCTTCCTCCCCTTTCTCCTCCACCTCCCCCTCCTGCCCCCGGTCCTTTCTCCCCGCCACCTCTCCCACCTTTCTTCCCCTTGCCCTTCCCTCTCGTCACCTCCTGCCACCCATCCTCCTCCTCTACCGCCCCTGCCTCTGCTCCTGCAACAGGGTCCGCTGAAGCATCCCCCCCGTCTCTCGCTCCCTGCGCAGACGACTCGCCCTCGCTGCCAGTCCATGCCTGCTCAGCTGAATCACTGCCTCCACCGCCCCCACTGCCTCTACCCATCTGCATAAGGGCTTCTGAGAGAGCGGATTTGGCACACCCAGGGATCCCCAGGAAGAACACCAGCAGTCCCTTGCCCTGCTCCCCCCTCCCCTCCGCTCCCCCTCCCTCCCCTCCACTCTCCTCCCCCCGCATCCCCTCACTCCCGTCCCCTCTCTTCCCCTCACTCCCCTCCCCTGCTTCCCCGTCCCATGCAGCCCCCACTGCCTTGGCCTGTGCTGCGCCCCTCTTGGCGTAGGCAGCAAGAAAGGGCTCGGCATAATCGAGGTAGGAGTTCGAGGAGACGGACTTGGGAGGGCGGGGGGAGTCGGGCAGGCCTAGCACATAATCCGCCCTGGGAGAACATGGAGGGGTGGAGGGCACAGAAAGGCGGGGATGAGGGGATGTGGTGGGTAGCAAGAAAGGGTTCGGCGTAGTCGAGGTAAGAGTTGGATGAGACGGCCTTGGGTGGGCAGGGGGACGAGGGTGGACCCAGCACAAAGTCCGCCCTGGGGGTGGGGAGGATGCGGGAAGTACAGACAAAAACAGGGACGGGGAAGAACATGGGGGAAGAGAGGGGTGAAAAACGGGCGAGGAAAGGCGGTGGTGGGCAGCAAGGAAGGGTTCGGCATATGACTTTTGAGGCGCCTCAAAAGTCATAACCCTAAACGGGCGAGGAAAGGCGGTGGTGGGCAGCAAGGAAGGGTTCGGCATCGTCAAGGTAGGCGTTGGATGAGACGGCCTTTGAGTCGACTCAAAAGTCACCTCGGTAGGCGTTGGATGAGACGGCCTTTGAGTCGACTCAAAAGTCACCTCGGTAGGCGTTGGATGAGACGGCCTTTGAGTCGACTCAAAAGTCACCTCGGTAGGCGTTGGATGAGACGGCCTTTGAGTCGACTCAAAAGTCACCTCGGTAGGCGTTGGATGAGACGGCCTTGCGAGGGCAGGAGGATGAGGAAGCGGAGCCAGGGGAAGGGGTGCTGGAGTGAGGCCGGAGAGATTGACAGGAGAGAGGGCAGGGGAGGCAGGCAGAAAGACAGGTCACGGAGCTCTGTGCGGCGCGAAAGGTTCATTGAGATGGCAAGGAGAGTCGGGAACAAAAAGATGGTACAGCGCGGAAGCGATACACTTAGGCAAGAAGAGGCAAGTTGGAGCATGCAGCACATACCATGCTCGGCAGAGCGCGGTCATCTCGCGAGTTGCAGCTGGTGACGTGCCCCACACCTTGAGCAGCCTGCTCGGCGCACACACACAGTGAACAGTTAACAGTGAGCAGTGAGCATAGGGGGGATAGGGATGAGCAGAGAGGGAAGGAGGGGTACAGGAGGTGTTCAGGCACTATTAAAGGAAAATTGCAGTTGAGAGAGGAAGGGAACAGGAGAGTGAAAGGAGGGATGTGGAAGAGCATGTTACTTGTGTGTGTATGCTTTGCCCTTCCCCTTTGACCTCTCACCATGCTGAACACACTCACTTCACCAACGCACAATCTATCCATGCCCCGAATCCCACCTGCCTGCATATGCCATCCGCGCCCCCAGCCCTACCTGGTAGCATACGCCATGTATTCATGACGGCCTTTCTTCAGCAGAGTGCCGAGCCCGTTGCGAATGAGGAACGTCCTTAGCTTGTACGGCAGAAACTTCATCTTCAGCATCACATGCGGCACCTCCATCCTCTCCCCGCCCTCCTCCTTCCCACCCTCCTCCGCCTCCTCCTCCTCCTCCCTGGCCTTGCCCTCCGCATTCTCCTCCTCTCTCAATTCCTTTGCCTTCTCCTTCCGCCCGCTTCCCACTTCATCATCATCATCATCACCATCACCACCAGCAGCAGCAGCAGCAGCAGCAGCATCAGCTGTTGCAGCTACCAATTGCTTCCCCGTGCCCTTGTCCACTTCCACAACCGCAGCTTCCAGGAAGAATCCTCGGTACAGAGGCCATAGCCCGGGGTTCTTGCTGATGGCGCGTGGGCGGGGCCAGTTGTGGGGTGAGTGCGGGTGAAAGGTTGAGGGTGCGAGTGAGAGTGATGATGGGGTTAGCGAAAGCTGTGCCTGGGTAGGGTAATGTAAGAGGAGATGGCCGCTGAAACGATGGGAAGGTGGAACACATGGCTGAACGAGGAATGACGTGAACACATGGGGGAAGAGGAAGCGGCGAATCACACCGCATCTCACCGCATCAGTTGCTGGTATCTGCGAAAGGCCGCGTCTTGGAAGGCATGCACGGTGATGAGATGATGGGAGAGGGGCGCTGAGGAGGAAGCAGAGGAGGAAGCAGAGGAGGAGGATGAGGCGGTGGTGGTGGTGGTGGTGGTGGTGGTGGAGGAGGAGGTGGAGGGGGAGGGGGCAGGGGCGAGGAGAGAGGGCGAGGAGGGGAGCGGCCAGGGATGTGACTTGAACCTCACTTTGAGCTTCTCGGCTTTCACCGCTCGCAGCATGGCCTGGGAGGGCGTGGCAGAGGAGCAAAGGACGAAAAAGAGGTCATTGGAACTTGACAAACGAGAAAGTGGAGACAGAAGGACAAGAGGTAACGAAACGTGAAGAACACACTACCAGCACTGCCCTACAGGCCAGTTTATCACGCCTGAGAAACAGCCTACAATTTTATTTTACAACCGAACATCACAACAGACACGTACCTGCAGTTTGCTCGTCTCAGCATCGGCTGCAGCGCAGCTGATCAACGAGTTGAGCCACTTTGACATAAGCCGAGCGTTTCAATTCGACTTAACTGTCACCTCGTACCTGCAGCTTGCTGGTCTCATCATCTGCAGCAGTGCAGCTCAGCAGCGAGTTCAGCCAGTCAGTCACACGCCGCTCCTCCTCCTCCTGCTGCTCCCTCCGCCTCTGCTTGGCCTTCCCCGCACTCTCACTCTCCTCCCCTTCCACCACAGTGCCTCCTTCCTCATCCTCGCCTCCACTCCCATACCCCCCCGTCACGCCCTCCCCCCACTGCCCGGTGCTGCACATGGCGTCTCCTGCCTCCTCCACCAGATGGGCGATGCGCTGGCGGATGAGGTATAGAGAAAACGGGGGGGGGGAGAAAAGACAGATGAGGCAGCAGAGAGATGAGGAGTAGAGGGAGGAAGCAGAGAAAGGCCTTCGGGACATGTTCGAAGTGGGGCAACTGACCGAATGAAGAATGTGTTCCCTTTGAACTAGGGCAAGCGCATTCCTAGCACTGCATCGCCCGCCTCACTCACTGCATCTCCTCTGATATCCTCTCCAAGCCTCACCTCCTACATTGCCCCACCCTCACCCACCTCGCGCATGGAGTCGTGTTGAGAGAAGAGATCTCTCAGCCTCGTGCCTGCTCCCACGGGATAGCTGGGCGCCGGGCCTGATGCAGACGAGACGCAAAGAAAGGGACAAGAGGGCATAGTCGATTTTTGAGTCAAAGCCTCGTGCCTGCTCCCACGGGATAGCTGGGCGCCGGCCTGATGCAGAGGAGGGGTCTTTTGGGTCGACTCAAAAGTCAGAGGAGGGGACAGGAGAGCGAGAGTGTGGGCGCCGAGAGAAAACGGACAGAAGAGAAGCGGAGAGAGAAGTTGATTTGATGAGTAGAAGGGCGGTGCTGATTGCTGCAGGCTCTTGGGGCTCACCAGACTCATCACAACCAAGCGTCATCTTCAAAGAAAGAATCACTTCCCCACCCCTGTCACCAAACCCCGCCCCTAACCTACATCTCTGTACCACTCACCTGCCAGCAGCCCCGCCTTCAGTTCTCTGACTTGATTAAGGCTCCTGGGGCTCACCAGCCTCGCCACAACCAAGCATCATGTTCAAAGAGAGAACCACCTCACCACCATTCACCAGCAAGCAGTCCCGCCTTGACCTCGCTGACTTGCTGCATGCTCCTGGGGATCACCAGCCTCGCTAGAACCAAGCAGCATCACCTCACCACCCCCATCCCCTAACCCCGTCCCCTAGCCCCGTCCCCTACCTTGATCTCTCACCCACCACCCACCCGCCAGCAGCCCCGCCTTGAGATCTCTCCTAGACGTTTGGCCGGCGGCCTTGCCGTTTGCTGTTTGGCCGGCAGCCTTGCCGTTTGCCGTTTGGCCGGCGGCCTTGCCGTTCGGCGGCCGGGGGCCGGCGGCCTTGCCGTTCGTCGGCGGCCGGCGGCCTTGCCGTTCGGCGGCGGCCGGCGGCCTTGCCGTTCGGCGGCGGCCGGCGGCCAAGCCGTTCGTCGGCTGCCGGCGGCCTTGCCGTTCGTCGGCGGCCGGCGGCCTTGCCGTTCGTCGGCGGCCGGCGGCCTTGATGTTCGTGGGCGGCCTTGATGTTCGTCGGCGGCCGGCGGCCAGCGGCCTTGCCGTTCGTCGGCGGCCGGCGGCCGGCGGCCTTGCCGTTCCTCGGCGGCCGGCGGCCTTGCCGTTCGTCGGCGGCCGGTGGCCTTGCCGGTCGTCGGCGGCCGGCGGCCTTGCCGTTCGTCGGCGGCCGGCGGCCTTGCCGGTCGTCGGCGGCCGGAGGCCTTGCCGTTCCTCGGCGGCCGGCGGCCTTGCCGTTCGTCGGCGGCCGGCGGCCTTGCGGCGGCGGCCGGGGGCCGACGACCTTTCCGTTCCTCGGCAGCCGGGGGCCGGCGGCCTTGCCGTTCGTCGGCGGCCGGCGGCCATGCCGTTCGGCGGCGGCCGGCGACCTTGCCGTTCGTCGGCGGCCAGCGGCCTTGCCGTTCGTCGGCGGCGGCCGGCGGCCTTGCCGTTCGTCAGCGGCCGGATTCGCCGGTCGTCGGCGGCCGGCGGCCTTGTCGTTCGTCGGCGGCCGGCGGCCTTGCCGTTCGGAGGCGGCCGGGGGCCGGCGACCTTTCCGTTCCTCGGCAGCCGGGGGCCGGCGGCCTTGCCATTCGTCCGCGGCCGGCGGCCTTGCCGTTCGTCGGCGGCCGGCGGCCTTGCGGCGGCGGCCGGGGGCCGGCGACCTTTCCGTTCCTCGGCAGCCGGGGGCCGGCGGCCTTGCCGTTCGTCGGCGGCCGGCGGCCATGCCGTTCGGCGGCGGCCGGCGACCTTGCCGTTCGTCGGCGGCCAGTGGCCTTGCCGTTCGTCGGCGGCGGCCGGCGGCCTTGCCGTTCGTCAGCGGCCGGATTCGCCGGTCGTCGGCGGCCGGCGGCCTTGTCGTTCGTCGGCGGCCGGCGGCCTTGCCGTTCGGAGGCGGCCGGGGGCCGGCGACCTTTCCGTTCCTCGGCAGCCGGGGGCCGGCGGCCTTGCCATTCGTCCGCGGCCGGCGGCCTTGCCGTTCGTCGGCGGCCGGCGGCCTTGTCGTTCGGCGGCGGCCGGCGGCCTTGCGGTTCGGCGGTGGCCGGCGGCCTTGCGGTTCGTCGGCAGCCGGCGGCCTTGCCGTTCGTCCGCGGCCGGCGGCCTTGCCATTCCTCGGCGGCCGGCGGCCTTGCCGTTCGTGGGCGGCCGGCGGCCTTGCCGTTCGGCGGCGGCCGGGGGCCGGCGACCTTTCCGTTCCTCGGCAGCCGGGGGCCGGCAGCCTTGCCGTTCGTCGGCGGCCGGCGGCCGGCGGCCTTGCCGTTCGTCGGCGGCCGGCGGCCTTGCCGTTCGTCGGCGGCGGCCGGCGGCCTTGCCGTTCGTCGGCGGCCGGCGGCCTTGCCGTTCGGCGGCGGCCGGCGGCCTTGCCGTTCGTTCATCGGCGGCCGAACGGCTTGCCGTTCGTCGGCGGCCGGCAGCCTTGCCGTTCGTCCGCGGCCGGCGACCTTGCCGTTCGTCCGCGGCCGGCGGCCTTGCCGTTCGTCGGCGGCCTTGCCGTTCAACGGCGGCCGGCGGCCTTGCCGGTCATCGGCGGCCGGCGGCCTTGCCGTTCGTCGGCGCCGGCCGGCGGCCTTGTCGTTCGTCGGTGGCCGGCGGCCTTGCCGTTCGTCGGCGGCGGCCGGCGGCCTTGTCGTTTGTCGGTGGCCGGCTGCCTTGCCGTTCGTCGGCGGCCGGCGGCCTTGCCGGTCGTCGGCGGCCGGCGGCCTTGCCGTTCGTCCGCGGCCGGCGGCCTTGCCGTTCGGCGGCGGCCGGCGGCCTTGCCGTTCGTCGGCGGCCGGCGGCCTTGCCGGTCGTCGGCGGCCGGCGGCCTTGCCGGTCGTTGGCGGCCGGCGGCCTTGCCGTTCGCCGGCGGCCGGCGGCCTAGCCGTTCGTCGGCGGCCTTGCCGTTCGTCGGCGGCCGGCAGCCTTGCCGTTCGTCGGCGGCGGCCGGCGGCCTTGCCGTTCGTCGGCGGCGGCCGGCGGTCTTGCCGTTCGTCGGCGGCCGGGGGCCTTGCCGGTCAGCAGCGGCCGGCAGCCTTGCCGTTCAGCAGCGGCCGGCGGCCTTGCCGTTCGTCAGCGGCCGGCGGCCCTGCCGTTCGTCGGCGGCCGTCAGCGGCCGGCGGCCCTGCCGTTCGTCGGCGGCCGGCGGCGGCTGGCGGCCTCGCCGTTCGTCGGCGGCCGGCGGCCTTGCCGGTCGTCGGCGGCCGGCGGCCTTGCCGGTCGTCGGCGGCCGGCGGCCTTGCCGTTCGTCGGCGGCCTTGCCGTTCGTCGGCGGCCGGCGGCCTTGCCGTTCGTCGGCGGCCGGCGGCCTTGCCGTTCGTCGGCGGCCGGCGGCCTTGCCGTTCGGCGGCGGCCGGCGGCCTTGCCGTTCGTCGGCGGCCGGCGGCCTTGCCGTTCGTCGGCGGCCGGCGGCCTTGCCGTTCGTCGGCGGCTGGAGGCCTTGCCGTTTGTCGGCGGCCGGCGGCCTTGCCGTTCGGCGGCGGCCGGCGGCCTTGCCGTTCGGCGGCGGCCGGCGGCCTTGCCGTTCGTCGGCGGCCGGCGGCCTAGCCGTTCGTCGGCGGCCGGCGGCCTTGCCGTTCGGCGGCGGCCGGCGGCCTTGCCGTTCGTCGGCGGCCGGCGGCCTTGCCGGTCGTCAGCGGCCGGCGGCCTTGCCGATCGTCGGCGGACGGCGGCCTTGCCGTTCAGCGGCGGACGGCGGTCTCGCCGTTCGTCGGCGGCGGCCGGCGTTCTTGCCGTTCGTCGGCGGCGGCCGGCGGCCTCGCCGTTCGTCGGCGGCGGCTGGCGTTCTTGTCGGAGTTACTGCTGTGCTCTCATCTGCCTTAGTTCTCCTGCTCTGCTTCTCCTTAGTCTCGTCTGTTGCCTCAGCCACTCTCTTTGAAAGAACAGTAGCTCTCACCTCAAGGGTCCTCCCTGAGTGGTGTGTTACCTGTTCTGGAAAGCTTAGGCAACAACAGTCCACTATACGAAAGGATAACCAACGGAAAGCATCAGGTGTGTGTGTGGGAGTGAATTTACCTGGCCCAGGCTCGAACCGTGCATTTCTCAATGTGCGGCTCGAGCCTGGGTTGGGTTCGTTCTCATTGGTTGCGTGGATTTCACCCCTCGGTGCTCTCCTACCAACTTCGCGTCAATTTCCCAGCTCCCACCTACCTATCCTTGAACCTGCATACAACACATAACTACACCCGCACTACACCACAACATTACTGGCACCTTATATGCACAACCGTGCATATTCGGTGACAGCTGTCGGAGTTACTGCTGTGCTCTCATCTGCCTTAGTTCTCCTGCTCTGCTTCTCCTTAGTCTCGTCTGTTGCCTCAGCCACTCTCTGCCCCCTCCTGTGCCCGTGCTCGAGCGGCTTGAGCGCGGGTCACAGGACCAGTACGCTGAGGCCCTGTCCCCCTGATCACTGCTGTGTTCGTCTGATGTTCTCTCAGCTGCGCCCCCGTGTCGTTTTCCAAGACCAGCACCCCTGAGGGGCGCACCTCCTTGACCTTCCAGCGGACCGTCCCCAATCCCACGTCAAGGGTGTCCTGTTTGGCTCTCTTCAGGTAAACTTCCTGTCCTTCGCAGACGCCCCTTGCTGCTCTATCCTCCCCTTTGTGTTGCCTTTGCTCGTATCTCCTGGTGTCTCTGAGCTGTGCGGTGTGCAGGTTCTCCAGCGCGGCTGGCATCATGCAGCGCATGTAGCGCGCTCTCACATCGGACAGGGCTACCCAGTTCTTGATCGTGCCCGCTGTCACTGTGTCTGTTAATACCCGTGGTGCCCCCACCGGCAGGATCGGCTCTCGTCCGAATAGCAGACTATATGGGGAATGATCCTTCAATGCTGCCTGTTTCCCGAACCTGTACCCTGCTGCTATCCAGTCCAATTCCTCATCCCAATCCCTCTTCCGCTGCTCCCTGTAGGCCCGTAGTCCTCGCTTGAAGGTTTGCACGGCTCGCTCAGTCAGCCCGTCGCTCTGCGGGTGATAGCGGGAGGTCCTTCGGTGCGTGATGCCCGACTCCGTCAGCAACTTCTTGAACTCCCCTTGGAACTCTGTTCCCTGATCTGTGAGCACCTCCCCGCACGCTCCAAATCGGCACACCACCTGCGCCTTGAAGGCTGCTGCAA